TTTCTCCCCATTTCTCCCCAATTTATCCCTCTTGTCCCCCCAGGTGGACATCAGCGCCGTGGTGGCCTCCAAACCCCCATGTCCCCATTTACCCCCCATGTCCCCATTTACCCCTCATGTCCCCATGTCTCCTCATGTCCCCATTCGTGTCCCCATGTCCCCAGGTGGACATCAGCGCCGTGGTGGCCTCCACACCCCCCATTTCTCCTCATCCCCAATTTATCGCTCTTGTCCCCCCAGGTGGACATCAGCGCCGTGGTGGCCTCCAAACCCCCCATTTCTCCTCATTTCTCCCCAATTTATCGCTCTTGTCCCCCCAGGTGGACATCAGCGCCGTGGTGGCCTCCAAACCCCCCATTTCTCCTCATTTCTCCCCAATTTATCGCTCTTGTCCCCCCAGGTGGACATCAGCGCCGTGGTGGCCTCCAAACCCCCCATTTCTCCTCATTTCTCCCCAATTTATCGCTCTTGTCCCCCCAGGTGGACATCAGCGCCGTGGTGGCCTCCAAACCCCCCATTTCTCCTCATTTCTCCCCAATTTATCCCTCTTGTCCCCAGGTGGACATCAGCGCCGTGGTGGCCTACACGCTGGCCGTCAAGGAGGACGGCGAGCTGGCCCTCATGCGCAAGGCGGCCGCCATCACCTCCGAGCTCTTCACCAAGTTCTTCAAGGAGCGCGTCATGGAGATCGTGGACGCCGACGAGGTCAGGACGCACAACCATGGGCCACCAACCCTTCCATTTTTCCCAATCCCAACATTTTTCCGGCTTTTCCCGGCACAGAAAGTGCGGCACAGCAAGCTGGCCGAGTCGGTGGAGAAGGCCATCGAGGAGAAGAAGTATCTGTCGGGCGCCGACCCGTCCACGGTGGAGATGTGCTACCCGCCCATCATCCAGAGCGGCGGCAACTACAACCTCAAGTTCAGCGTGGTCAGGTGGGCGGCATTCCCGGCGGGAACGCCGGCATTCCCGGCGGGAGCCGTTTCTCCCGGTTTTCCCGTCCTTGTAGTGACAAGAACCACATGCACTTCGGGGCCATCACGTGCGCCATGGGCATCCGCTACAAGTCCTACTGCTCCAACCTGGTGCGCACGCTCATGGTGGACCCGCCGCAGGACATGCAGGACAACTACGCCTTCCTGCTGCAGCTGCAGGACGAGATGCTCAAGGAGATGCGGCACGGTGAGCGCGGGGCTCCGCGGATCCGCCTGGGGATCCCGGGATCGTCCCGGGGCTCCACGGATCCACCTGAGGCTCCTGGGATCATCTTGGGGCTGCTGGGATCCTCCCGGGGCTCCTGGGATCATCCGGGGGCTCCTGGGATCATCTCAGGGCTCCTGGGATCATCCCGGGCCTCCTGGGATCATCCTGGGCCTCCTGGGATCATCCTGGGGCTCCTCGGATCCCCCTGCGGCT